ACAAACCAGTTGTCCTGATTTCCCCATCCTAAATAGTAATGATTTAATATTGTGTGAATGCCAAATGCTATCTTTATATCTTGACCTCTACGTGACATCGAGATATATAAGAAGTGACTGCAAAGTAACATCTTGAGATTGAACGAAGAATAATGGCCATTTGTTCGCTGATTAGATTTGAATGGAATATAAACTTCGATGAATCCAATGAACTTTTGGTGGTTTATCTGATGAAGTGATATAGATATAGGTGTTCTAAAACGATAAATCATGTCAAAACAGAGGTCTCCCAGTCTTTTTTCATCTTGCTAACCTACTTTAAAAAGTAGAAACGAAATCTCATGTAGCAAACGAAAACGAGCACAGATCATCCATATATCCCGATTTAACTCATCTATATCTTTAAATTCTTAGGCTCGGTCCACGAATTTATTTGATATTTCCAATTCTCTGTAGCAAAATGGCATTAAAGTATACGAGCATTTGCTAAATAGATAGCTAGATAAATAAACCACTTAGCTCACCCAGAGTATTTCAGTTTTCATTGTAATAGATGAAACTATTTCCACAGTGTCTCGTTAGGAAGTACGGCTTTGGACGTATGATTTTGCATTTTATGTGATTTTTCATTTCAGGAATTCATGTCATCTTGTCGTACTAGTTATAGACGCAATTTCAGCTTGTATCGCTAGAGAAACATTATGTTTGCTATGCAACAAAAGAAGATTTTGCAGAGATATTGCATCACGCATTCGTACAGGCAAGTGCTAGAAAAGGTTTGAATGTTTTAGACTAAGAGCAAATAACGGATACTTAGTATTGTGTAACATGACAGTATAAAAGAGATGAAATTACGTTTGTCCTCCTCAGTTCTTTTGATTCTTAATTCCTGAACGACTTTTTTTTATCCTCATGAATTTAGTTATGTGATTGTGACATAACCATCGTTGTTTGTTCTGGGGGAATGAAGAAATCATCTAAAGTGCAAAGTACATCCAAAGTCATACTTTCTATGAAATATAGTGAATTATACTTTTAGTATGCCTTATTGACGCGGCGATAATTGGTTTATCATCTCATAGGCTCAGTTCAAGACTGTGTCTTTTCTCAAAATGCGCTGTCAAAGCACAGCGTAGGCTTGAGGCATCTGAGTGTTTCACTTGGGTCAAGTAAAAATGTTTATTCAGAATTCTACCGAACCAGGAGAAGTGAGAAATTTGCTACGTCTGGTATTCTTTCATGTTATTCAAAAAGTATGAGGTAGCGCATCAATTTCATAGCAGTGTGCAAAAGATTCAGTGATTAGTAACTTTTGATGTGAGTTAATGAACTGTCATATTCAGCGGGCCAACGCAATACACTGTTCACCTATTTACTGTCAAGGTGTTCTTTCTGCTCTGCGCACAAGCGGGTCGATCTGACATTAAACCGACATTAAATCGAGTTGGCCGATAGGTAAATCACAGATAAGACCTCTATTAACAATTATTAACAAGGTTAAGTCTTTTCGATCTTGGACACTTGGTGTACGGATAAACCATTTGTGGAAGAAACTTCATTTCATTTATGGTTGAAATATATTTCTGTGAGTCGTTTGTTTAAAGCACACACTTTAGAAAAATAAAGTGGAAGAGAGCAAGTCATCATCGATATGGAACCTACCTATTATTCCATCATTTTTTTAGACTTTTTACTTTCTTATATCCATATCAGGCATATATTTTACAGATTCGCTGTATTACACCTGCTCTTGTGGTCTTTGAATTTATTTAATTTCATGACACTTTTTCGTTGTTGGTATGCACTGTAGTTCCATAAAATGTGAAAAGCACAGATCTGAATCACAAGAGTTGTCCTTAATAAATGTAGTGATGTTGCTGTATGAATCAACTCCTGTAACTGTTGTCCTTATTTCTCTCTTCGAGTTGTTCATATATAATTTTGAAAACGGCACAATATTCCGATTCTTATTTTCAGTAAATTTGGTGGCGACAGTATCAAAATTCCAAGGCCAAATTTCGAATATTTTGCTCTCCTTTAGTAGAAAAAATAGCTTATGAATTACAATTTTTTAAGTCCGGGTAATCTTAATGCTGGCATAATCTGTACTAATGAAGAGACAGTGTAAGGTCTGGGAGTTGTCTGTGATGATTTTGTGATTTTAGATGGATCATGGAAATGAAGAAGTGGAAAGGGGCAGGCTTGCCGTGATTCGACAGCATGTTGAAAGTGTGAAGGAGGTTAGTTTATTCTATTTTTTACCGATCTTCACTATATCTGGAACAAATCGTTTTGAATTTTATTGTGAAGCATGTGGAGGGAGTTACAAGTTCTACAGCTTTACCAGTTGCTCACTTGTTCGGAATGTATTTCCCAGTTTGCTTTTAAGGACTTCCTGCAACAGTAATTGCTTGTTTTCAAGGGTTGGTCATTTAAGGTGATGAACAATAACATGCAAAGAGTGCTAGAAAGAGGTGAACAGCTGGAAAATATTGAGAATAGAACGGAAGCACTCACTCAGTCGGTATGTCTTTTTAGAAATTTGTATAAAAAATAGTTCTTCTTAGTTCTCTTTTCAAATTAAATGCTGTAAGAATAGTGCAGAATTACTGTAATAAAGCTAGCCAAGTAGTTTGAAGGAGGCTGAAGAATTTCAGGAATACGTGGAAATTTTCTAAGTAATCTTTAAAATTTCGCGGGCATTGTAATGGATGTATTATGTGACATCTACATAATCTTTAAGACCATTTCAGTTATTTTATTTAAAAACTTTTTCTTGCAGTCTCAAACCTTCCATTGGACAGCACGACGCGTTCAGCGTCGAATGTGTGTGAAGAATGCAAAATGGATTATTATCATCACTATTTTTTTAATGGTTGTTGCTGTTAGTATCATACTTATTATGCTGAAGAACTCTGGCGTTCTCGGTTATTCTTCATTATAGTTCTTAATCGAAAGTTTGAACTGTGTGATGCAGTTGAAATGTGCTACCAATACTAGAACATAAAGAAATCTAAGATTTACTTACTGATATTTTTTGTTACCAGAAATTTTTCGATAGGGATTTTTTTTTTTTCGTATATAAGAGAAATTTATTATTATTAATAATCTTTACATAAGGTAACCGCCCGTTTTGTAGTAACAGTTTATTTGTACTAGTCGTACGTTTTTTCTCATTGATGTTCATCATACTACTACAAAACATGCACCAGTTTATCTGGAATTGGCATGCGATACCGGAAATTTATTATGACTACCTGGTAATAGGTTACTGATAGTTATTTTATTACCTGTTTATGGGCACCATATAAAATCTTTTATGGTGTTTTTGGTTTTTTATTGATTTTGCATTGTACAGTAATTATGACCAGCACATGTGATACTGTTGAGAACTAGTATCATATACGACGTTAACAAACTTTTACGAATTTTTGCGAAAAAAATTTGTTAGCGCAAGAGCTGAAAAGCTTATTTGTAGTAGTTACAAATTTTTCATGCAGAGTTATTATTTGTTACTCAAAATCCTGTTTACATCACATTTCGTTACTCAGGGAAATACTGACATATTTTATTTCAGTCGCGTTCTAAGGCGGCTACACTTTATTTGCTTGTGCTGAGTATACCACATGTCGACCTGTTTTTTTTTTCTTTTATTTAAGTATTGGGAGAGTTTATATTTTGTGTTGTTTTCCACCCAGCCCATGTTTTGATTCACTAAATCATATATAGATTGTTACCTTCGAACAGAAAATTAAGCTATTGGGAGTTTGCTGCATAAAAATGGTCATTCAGTACTCTTTTATTATCTTTAGGAAGAATTCATGGGTCAAATCTTTATTCAGAGAGGAAATCTGAATCTTGACCAGAGAAGCTGGAAATGTAATTGACCAGAAGACGCATTATGAAGTAGAGTCCTGTTCGGTTCAATTTCTACACTTCCTTCCAAGTTATCTCGAACTTTGTAGTTCTTGCTACATGCTGATTTCCGGACCGTTTTCTAAGAAAATGCAAGAAAGTAGTAACATGGCCTCTCACCTACTTTCCAGCGTCCGCCCACAGTTACGGAAGAAGATAGTGTATCATTTTTACTAGTATCCTATGCCTAACTGCGTTCCTTTGAGTCGACTCACATGCGTACATCGGTGAGACAAAATACATTTGGTCACAACTTTTTTACACCGCTACTAGCTTCTACTGTCCCATTGTTCTCTCCATTACACATCCCGAAAATTTGAAGATGCTATATATTTACTATCGTAGCAATTATGGAGGAGATCTGTGCAAACAACGATTGCTTGCTAATAGCGCTTTATCGATCAATAGCTTATGAGAGTGGTTTATTTGATGTATATGTGGCGCAATCATGACATTATGCGTGCATAGTTTCTCGCGTGTGGTATGCTTATTTGTAGTTTGCGTAACAGAGAGATCTTCCTGGTCGTTCAGATTAATCTGACTAATTATGAAAGTCTTCGCCATCCAGTGAATCTGGTCTTTCTACTTTTAGTATCCACTTTTTCTTTCTCGACTTATTCGTCACTCCGTAGTTCTTTTATCTTGTTCGATGAGAGTAGATTATTAATGTGATTATTTCGTGCTTGCATTAGTTTTTTCCGGCTAAAGTTGCTATAATTAGGTTTCAATTCCCAATTTTTTTTTACTTAGTTAAATTTCCTTATGTACTTAAAAATTGCAGATGTTGGAATGCTTACGTTTTAGACTTTTTCGAAACATTTCACGAAAATTTGAACACGAATTTAAGTTTGCTGGACTAATCCGTCCGTTCCGTAGTAGCTAATCATTTTTATTACTGAATAGTGATTAGATTTCTCCACTTATTTTTCACTATTCCATGATACTCTATATTTTATTTCATTGCTTTTTCCGTTACATTCTAAGTGATAAAAGGAAGTGTTTACAGGTGAACGTGAAAGAAGAGTGCGTTGATAAGGTGACTGTATTCCGATGATGATAAGATTTATTCACAATAAGAATTAAATATGTCTTTTATTTTGCTAAAAAAAGTTTTATACCGATTTGTTCTTCCGACAGCATTACTTACCGGTTTGTTTTAGAGTCTTATATCTTATACTGTAACTTTAATGTATTTTGATTTTGAAGTGTGAAGTTGGATCGTTTCACTGTTTTGCATATTTTCCAGCTTTCATATTATTTCCAGGCGCATTCATCCGGCCATGTTTTATTTCCATCACCTACATTATTTTCGCCTTAATTGGTCCGCATTTGGGGCCCATATTGTCATCTGGACCAATTCAACGGTCACTTCGTGTTTATTTCATTTCCGTCTTGCTAACGGCACTGCTTACTTCCGCAGTTCAATTGAGCTATCAGATTTATGAATCATTTTCTCAGCCGAATATCGATGAATACACCAAAACATGCAATATGTCAATTTTGAACTTTTGGTTGCGACAGATTGGATTAATTAGGTATGTATTTGATCAGTTGACTAGTAACGAAACCTCTAGTATAATATTGTATGTGCAGACAAAATATTTTATTTACCAGCTATGTCGTGTTGACATTTGTTCCTAGATAATGTTGTATGGACTTACACTTCATTTGATATTCCATTAATTTGAGTTCTGAAAAGGAACCAATACCTAAGCGTTCGATTCTTATTGAGTTCATAAGGTATTTTAGCAACTTAATGCAATGAAAAATGTGTGAATAACAGATCTTGCCCACTACACAAGCATATAAGTTTTACTAGCCAGTCAGCAGAGAATTGTAGCTTTTTCCTTTTTTTTTTTATGTATGCTGAAAATGTGTCTTTGTGATTTCAAAAAATATCAGTGATGGTTTTAACTGCTGAATGAATATCTGTCTCATAGTTTGCATTGCGAAGCTAAAAGTGCTTTTCTGAATGACAAGGATAACAGTAATTATAGAGGAAGTTTCATGTCCAATAAATTCGAACTGTCATTTCGAAACTTTTCAGAATCAAACGTTATTCTGGCTTTGATACAATACGTGTAATTCTTCCTGAATTACTGGCACTTGTAGCTTCTCTTCTGGTTACAGGCTGTTGTTTTCTTATTCATCAAAATGAAGATTTCAGAAGTAGCAGCCATATCGTTAATGTGCAAATAGTACGGGAAACTTCAGGGTAATACTTCTAGTCTGCTCTTTCATACTATTTTGATGTGTCGTATATTTCCTGAGTCACAGTAAACGTTACATTTTTTTTTTTTTTTCGTTTCAGCACTACTGAATCTACGAAAATAAGCAACAGTGAAGCATTGGTTTTGTTTCTGAAAAGGCTCTCAGACGTTGCAGTAATTTTGGCTCTCGGTTTAACCGGCATTTTTCAGGTTATTGAAATGCATAAGATTGGTATTTAGTTTTGATTTTGAGTCCTAGCCAGATTCAAATTGAAGTAAAATGTAAATTTGAAATTTCTATCCAAAATTGCAACGAAGTCATTCATTGTAATATTCTTTTTAAAAATTGAATGATTTGTTAATTATTTTTCAGCCATGTGTTCTCAACTCCATTTATTTCATTACATTTCTTTGTATTACAACGTTGTGGGCATTGTACAAACCTCTTCATTGCCATGTCTTCAATATTCTTAAACGTCTAATCATCTTCTGTTGTGCATTGCACTTCCTGTTGCTTTATATATATCAGATACCATTCTTTCAAACCGTCATACTTGGACATTCATTTTTTGCTCGGTATGGTTTTCATATGTTTTCGCTAAAACTGAGTTTACTCCTTCAGCTACAAAAATTCCGTCTTGTAGGATAGTAATTTATTCTGATTACTTTACCTTTTCATGTGGATTAGCAAAGTGACTAGGATGCAAGCCGTAATTTGGAATATAAATGATGATTAGTGCTTCACATTGTATCATTCAGCGGTAATGGTTAGCAGAGATTAACTTGATTAGGTACAGCATTAATTCATTTTAAAAATTTTGGATACTCTTGAATATATTTTCAGATTTAAAGATTTTTAACTGCTATTTCTTACAGTTTGGTTGGTTTTGTCCCTATTTTATACACCGATTGCAATATGTGGTGGTCAGTGAATGTCATTTCACTTGATTATTGGACAACATTTGCCAATGTAGCAGCTGTACTAGTTCTTTATCACCTTCTAATTATTCAGTGTAGTTTTACAAGATGTGAAATTCATCGTAAATATAAGACTTGTGAAGACACTGGAAGTATCATGCATGATGAGGTAAGAGTTATTTCTAACTGCTTTATCCATACTTCTCTTGATGGCATTCAGTTATTCACTTCTATTTATTTTTTGATTTCTCAAAATTTGTAATGAATTTTTACTTCAGTAACTTTTTTGGATTATTTTTTTACTGGTTGAGTGTCAGTGGTTTTTAGTTGTAAAGTATATTTCTCTTGTTTTGCGGTGCTTGTTCTCCTTCCCTATTTGAAGATTAGTGCTAAATTCTTTTAAGCATTGAATGAGGATATGAATTTCAGATTCTATACAGTTATTTTTTTTTCCTACTTCTCATATGTTGTTTCTTAAACTACATATTTTCGAATCACATTATAGAACGGGATCATGCTGAGATACAGATCATTTTAAGGGGCAACTACTGATCTGGATAATGAAAAAATTAAATGTAGCTTGATGTAAATAAGCATGCTGGAGGATGGGAGGGTTGGGGGGGGGGGGGGGGGGTTGGGAAAGGATTGTAATGATTCGGTAATTCGTAATGTTATAATTGTTTAATTCAGATTTTCAAAGTTTAGTTTCACCTAGCATCGTTTTTGTTTGCCTTAACATTCTTCAGTCAACCTTTGATTTATACGTTTTTACTTTTTCATTATTCGTATTACTTGTTAGGTTTGATTTCTTCTTTGTTTTATCGAATTCATCTGCAACTGCATAGCTCAACATTTCTGTGTTTTTCTTTTACAGCTCCTTGCAAGCGATGCAAATTCTCACAGTGTCCGAAATTTATCACTGGATCAGGTTAATCCGTTTCATGCTGACCACGAAGAGATAGCAGTCGTTTTTATTGGTAATTTATCATCTGTTTTTATGTTCAGTTCATCTTAGTTTTATTTATATAATATCTCGTCAAGAAATACATGTAAATTTCTTTAATCTAAAGTTCTTGACTACCAGTATGAATTTTAATTCCGAATCGAATTAGAATCAGACTTTCCAGGACCAGGAAAGCATGAGACAGTAATATATCAAGGATTTAATGCTTCACTAACTTTTGTTTCCCATCATCTTCATGTTTTTTCTTTAATGGCTATGACGGTAATGTTTGGTTTTACTTTATTTTGCGATAAGAATTCTTCAAAAATATTAATTTTTAGTGAATTCTATTCCTTTCTTTGCTTGAGGAGTGTTATTAAGCATATGTTTTCACTTTAGTTATAATTTAAACATGCAGTTTAGTTCACTAGAAGCTTGTTTAGCTGATATAAACTTGTCAAAAGCTCTGCAGTGTAGTTTGTGATTGAAGGGTTATATAAGAAACCGCTTTATGCATGTACCGGAAGCTCAGAATATTACCTCATTGCATAGTGTCACCATTTAAGTTTTCAGTTCTGGGCTCTTCTTTACCACTCAGTATTTGGTCTGGTATTTTTAGTAGAAGCTTGCATTATTTTGGTTTTCAAAAACACACGCACTGTGGCACTTCGAGCATCACCACCACTTATGGCGTATGTTGAAGTCTGTTTTATTTTGTTGTTTTTTTTTTTTTTTTTTTTATGATGAGATTTAAGCAAGTTTTGTTTCGATAGTGATTTATTAATATTTATTTGTTTTAAATAGGTCTGAGAATAATTTTGATTTTAGTTCCTACTTGTTGCACAGTATGTGTGCAGCATGGATATCAAACATGAACTGCCGCAGTCAAGCTCTATGGAACTTATTGGTTTCATTTTCGCGTCTAATCGAACTGCAGCGTTCATTACTCTTGTCACTAAGGTTTGCTCTTTGTCGGGTGGGTAGAGCCTTCAGCATACTTCAGTTTCTAGAATTTCATGGGATAATTTGATTTATTTTCTTTGAATTTCCTTTGAATCCTGTTTGAAAGAGGCAACAGTTTGTGAAACACTATGGAATAAGTTAGTAACCACTTCCTAAGATTGTGCGGAGAAGGAAGGTGGAGCAATGTTGAGTCATTTAATCAATGAAGGAAGTTTACTGAATGTGTTCCTGTATAATAAATGCAAAAATCACTGTGTAAAGAAATGATAAATTGCTACAAGGCAGAAGTTCTATAAAAGGTGATGCTAAAAATGATGGAATAGCGGAGGAAAGACTGTTTATACCATGATTCTATTGCTTCTTAATTTCCTGTTGTTTTTTTCTATGCGTGAAGATAGAAGCTGACTTTTGAATGCATTAGAACTGGTGGGGAATTTTTTCTACGTTTTTAGTTGTCCTAGAGGGGAAGAGGCAGAGTTGGTGAGAGCAGTGAAAAGAGATTTTTACTTCTTTGGGGGCGGGTAAAGTCTACTGGTATTAATCAAAATGGTTCAGATTTCTACATTTCTTAGAAATTTGTTAACTGGTTGCAAATTTGGGGTATTTTGTGTTGTTTAAAACTTCGAATAACTTTCGAAAACACTCATCTGTTTATATATAATTTTGACTTCTGCAATCGCTTTTACATTTTGCTTGACTACCTATGTTTATTATCAATTGGTTAATAATTCATGAGACCCATGACAAAGGATTGTAATACTCTACTATTTAGTTCACTAGAATTTTTTTATCTTTTTTGTCTTGATACTATAAAATTCTATCCTTTTGTTTTTTTGTTTTTTGTTTTTTTTTTTTTTTTTTTTTTTTTTTTAGTGTGAATTTCTTGCCATTGTATTTCACTGTTCATTATATTTTATGGAAGTTTTTGCACTTTCAGGGTTTATTAAGCTTGCCAGTTTTTGCACTACTTCGGGTATATCTTCATGAAAAATCTAGCACTAATTCAACAACTGGTCCTATCGGTATATCTGGTAATGAAGCATTGTCATCTCAGGTAAGTTTAGATATTGATTTGGTTTTCTTTTAACACTCATCATTTGCCGATCATATTCTTCGCTTTGTCGGATAATATCGGTATGTATTTCGCAGGTTTTGGTGATAAATGTGAGACATGTGAGAGTTTTAGCAAACGTTTCTAGATTGTGTTTTGAATCGTTCTCCCTTTGCTAATGGGGTATCTCACTACATTGTTACTAGTTTTTGGCACTCTGCATCTGTAACGGTCTAGTTTTTTTACATTTGATGTAGCCACCTTATTATCCCTTGATTTCAAAAATTTTTTTAACGTATACATGTATATAGGCGAAAGTTAATTATTTAACTCGATAATTTAATTTTTTTTTTTTCTTGTTAAAGATAATGGTTTGATTGTTTGTTTACTAGAGCGCATCAGTTGGCGTTGGAGTGGTTGCAAAATACTGGATTTTTGTTGTCAGTTTTGTTTTGCTCGTTATTTCAATCCATTCACAGCCAGTTCTGTACACTGTTGGTTTTTTCATATCGTTCAGTGTGCTAATTATCCTGCTAGTGGTATGTTTCTCCCTTTTTAAAACAGTTGTGGTTTAATATTATTGATTCAAATTCAATTTCATTCGGAGTTAAGTCTGATTTTATCAATCAAAAAATAAGTACTGTTATTCACTTTCAGTTAATCTGTTTTCTTAAAAGGAAATTTCCTATCAGTTAAAAGATCAAAAGACATTAGCCGTCTTAGTGTTTAACAAAAAAATTGTTTACGACATATTTATATCTCTAGTTTTTCGGAATTATCGTTATATCTTGTGGTAAATTGCTGTAGAGCAATTGAGTATTATTTATTTAGTTGAAAATAAAAATTGAGATTTGATATATAGTCTTCTGAAAGTAATCCAGATAAATAGTAAAACGAAGGTTTTCGAGCGGGCAAGATAATAATTTACTTATATTAAACTTCATAATCATGCGTTGATTTACACAGGAATAGAATATGTCTAGACAGAAATAAATAGCGATCCTATTATTTTAACGTGTTACTTTTGTATGGAGTGTAATGTGTTTTACTTAATACTGATTTCTTGGTTTTTTAATAATAATTCTTAAGTTTTCGAGTCTTTACTAATTGTGTAGGTAGAAAATAAAATATGATGGTCCTAGGATAATTCTTGAAACAGTTTATATTATACCCTACCTAATTTGAATTTCTTAGGAACTGGATGCATTTTTACATAAAATACTTTTTCAGTGTTCTTTTGGCTGTCTATGGCGTTTTTTATATAGTTACCTTGCATTCCTGACGATATATTCATTAACTGTGGTAATAGTCCTATACTGTTATCAGTTCCCAGCATTACCGTTGATCTGGCAGAAAGCAACAGGATTCAGTGATAACTGGAATCATGATATTGGCTTAATCAATTACAACCAAGAAAAAGATAAAGGGTAGGGATCTCTTTACATTTGATTCTAGTTTCGAGACTGTTCATGTTTTCATCTGAAATTTAATCCTGGGTGAAGATTAGTTATTATCATATGTCATTTAGTTCCTATTTTATAGCTTCACTGATATCTGTATACAACGATATTCAAGTATTCATTTTCAGATCTTTGCTAATTCATTTGGTTGGACCAATTTCACTTTTCATAGTGATCATGTTGCACATGAAATTCTTTTACGATCGATGGCGTCCGTTCTTTGCTGTTGTTTCAGGTGCCACTGATAATGAGATAGCTGCAGAAACTTTCGGTGGTAAGTTGTTTTTGATGCAGCTTCTTTAGCTTTCCTACAGCAGTTCAAATAGTTGTAAAAATCTAAAATTTGGGGTCCTTTTTTTCTTTTTTTTTTTTTTTTGTTTTTGCAGAAACTTCCTTTATCGAAGAAGGAAAAGAGCCTCAAGTTCTCTGTAATAAGCCTAGCATTATGATGCTCACTAGTTTAATTATCCATGTTCACGATTTTACCTATTTTTTCAAGTCCTGCTGAAATTGCAATAGCGTAATGAATGTTTTTGGATAGCAGTTGTTATTGATCGATTTGAATATATTTTTTCTTGGACTCTTTGGTTTATGTTTAACATAGGTCACAATTTAATGTATTGCAAACGTCCTAGCTTCAGATGTTAAGTCATAAGCTATGTTATGAATTGTCTAAATAAAAATAACGGCGTACTGTCATTTCAGAGAACTTCTAGAGTTTAAACTTAATTGTCAAAGCTTTCGTTTCTATTTCCCAATTACATTTTTTGGCACTTTCCTACAATTTAAGTTATACAGTCTTCCGTTTTTTGGTTCTCATGATTTTGCGGTGCTTCGAGAAACCAGTTCTTTGAATTTTCACATTTAAAATTTCCAACTGTTCTCTTTTTTCCAATCATTCCTACTTAAATTCGTGATTATAATTTTGTTGTCTGTTGATTTATTCGACCTTTTTCTTATATATTATTAGGTTTATGAGGCGATTATCTTCAATCACTTGCAGTACTTAGGTAATGACTACACAGACAAAATCTGCGGAGCTCGTACAATACTTTTTTTCTTAAGTTTGATCGTTGAGTAAGTATGGGATGGGCTATGAAAGCTTGTGCAAATGAACATTAGCTTGCTTCCTGTTCGTGAAAACAGTTTAAAATTAAATTAGTTAAAGCTAATTTGTTTTTAGAATTACTTCCATGTAATAAATCGTAGGTGTTGATTGTTAAAACCTTCCTTAGCATGTAACTGTTATTCTTACTTTAAATTCATGGAAATGGAGCTGAAATCATACTTTTCTTTTAGCTTGTTATTTTGAACAATTCCTTGCAATTATTAGTTATTCTAATTGAACTTTGCATAGTCAATTTTCGGTGATTTTATGCTGATATAATTACGTCGAGCAATTGTGGCTTGTTCTATTAGGTTGACATTCTGCAGCCTCTTTCATTTTTGCAGCAATCATTTAAGATTTATTCAAATGGTAATAATTTGCTGCAGTCTCTCTCCCTCTCTTGCTTTGTTCATTTTGTCAGTTGTATGAAAATTCACTTCAAAATTTTTATCTTCTACATTCAACAACATGCGTATCATTTTCCTTGTAGATTCCTTGGCAGGTAACTCATTTTTCTGCATATTGTTTTTGAAATTTGGATTTGTTTAAAGTTGGATTTGAAATATGTTTTGTCGTTATACATAAGTCATTTCTCAGGATGAAGGATTTTCAAGGGATAAGTGTTGAAAGTTTTGAAGAACTTTAGTAAGTATGTGAAACTCATTTTCATGCATGTAGATTATTTACTTAGTTACAGAGCAACAGATTTTTTATACCAAAGTGAGGCATATCGCAGAGTGTCTGGTGGAAGCGTTGTGGAACATTGCAGAAGCTCATGTGGCCAAACTTGTCATGTTTATCATAGTTGTTGTTGCTGTCAATGATGTAAATTCATTGGTTTATTCAGAACTTATTTACCACTTAAAATTTATAAATAATAGCAACTTACGGATGTGGTTTTCGTTTTGTTAATTTTGATGGAACAACTTTCAGTTTCATTACTTTTGCTACTAAATTATTGGTTTGTTAGTGGCAATAGTTGGAAAAAAATGCTTTTCATGTCACGTTTGAATGTTCGGTGGTGAAATAGGAAAATATTTCAATTGTTATGTTTTCACGTCCTATCTGGAACTAAAATTTCTGCAGATATGCGCCCTCAATTTAACATTAATGGTTTTAACTAGTATTGCTGTTTGTGTTCCATCAATCTCCTCGACTATTTTCCGGTTATTATGTATATTCATATCAGCATTTATCGCAATTAGAATGGTTTACCAGGTTAATTTCTTATTTTGTTAAGATGTCCTCGAATTTGCAGAACAATGGTGTCTTTATGCAGAATATACTTCAAGAAATAATTTATTGGTTAAATTTGCAGATGCACTTTGTGGTAGAAAAACCATTACCAGTATATTCGAAAGAGCTAATATGTAATTCATCTGAATACACTTTGAGTGCAACAGCATACTGGCTTGGTTTCCAAAAAGTACCGGTCGTCAGAAATTACATCAGTGTAAGTGAAGACTTTTAAATTTCATATCAGGAGTTAAAATTTAGGTTCTAAAAGTTTGTACACCAAACCATTAATAGTTGCTTTCAAATATAGCCATATTTTACGTTATCTTTTGCAGGGTTTAATTGTTGCTTTATTAGCAATAGCATTACAAGCAATTGTTATCTATCGCCAGCAACATAAACGTTTGGTATCTGGGGCAAGTGTTCCGCCTCCTGGACTTGTGTTCCCGAAAACAGATCCTAGCAATTGGGATACTAGTTTGGTTAATATGATCAAGTTTTTCTTCAATTATGGATTCTATAAATTTGGTTTAGAGGTACATTTATTTTGAAAATTTTAACTATATTATGATTATATTGACTTCTTTGTTATATATATATATGTCTGTGCATGTAGAGTTCTGTTTTTAAATAGATTGCCCTGGCTTCTTAGTTTAGTAAATCTGTCTTTCTGCAACTACTTAGTGAAGAGTTTTATGTTAACTTCGACGAACCTCGGTGTTGGACATTTACAGCCGATGTTTCTGCTTCAAAAGCGAAAGAAAATGTAGGGTATGAGAAAGCAAATTGTTTAACAGAAATAAGTATACGACGATTGTAAAATTGGAATGAGTTATGATAGAGTGTGTTAAATATCTCCGTGTATAATTAATAGATTAACCTCTGTTAACTGTGGCAGTTACAGTCAGGGCGAGTTTTAGTTAGCAGTAAGTTTTTTTTTTTTTAAAAAAAAAAAAAGAAACTATCTAAAAAAAATTTTTTTAAATGAAATAATGAAATTCAGTAAGCTTTTTTAAAAACTAAAGTTGTCAATGACGATGATGGTCGTAGTGGCATGGATACGAATGGATTTACTGGCAACACTTCTACTTATTTGGTTAATGGTATTTGTATTCAGCTCTCGTATAACTTGTCGTTGCTTATGGCCTATGTTCCTTCTCTATCTAGCTGTCCTGTTTCCCTTGCAGTATGCTTTCTATGTTGGTTTGCCACCATTCCTTTGTTTCGGTATGTATTTTTATTTAAATTGGAAATATTGAAAAAAAAAAAAAATCTTTGAATGTGTTCCACAGTTCTTATTTTATGCTGTTAGTTTGTTTCTGCTTCATCTTTTTTTTTTTTTTTTTTTTTTTTTTACTGATATTTCTCCATTTCTTTGCTTTTTCTTAGCTTTTCCCTCCCTCGAAATTTGTTTGGGAAATTTTGAAAATATATTCGGAAATGGTAAATGCGTTCTTGCTTTGTATTCAAAGATTTTGCAGATTATCCATGGAGCAGGTGGTTATCAGATCCTTTGCAAAACGATAATTTGATATTTTGGTTGGATTTGGCTAGTTATCGCTTTCAGTTAGATACAAGGAAGTCAGTGGCGGATTTCCTACTCCTATTGATGGTTGCTTGTCAGGTAAATATTATTCATACTGGTTTCCAGATTTTAAGAAATCGTTTATTCAGTTTTTCTTCATTTCTATCCGTTTTAGGAATATGCTTTTCGAAATGAAGCTGACTCACCAGCAGGTGACAATGAGTCCATTTATGCGAGCAGCGGACGTAATGGTTTGAGACGGGATAATCCAACATATGATTTCATTGCCCAACAGCGGTCAGTATACTGTTTCAAAAACCTCTTTTTATTGATTTTCTTAGAATCTGATGTATTAATTGAACAGCTTGACCTGTGAAGTATTATTTATGTTGAAATTTTTTCTAGGAGTTTTGTCGACTTCTTGAAAATAATTGTCTTCATGTACGGGCACTGGATAACTGTTGTAATGGTATTAGTAGCTGGTTTGGGTGGAGTATCTTTGTTTGCCCTTGGTTATATTATCTTGGCGTTTTGGATACTGTGGCAAGGAACAAGTTTATATATTGTGCTAGATTATCGCAAGACTCTCAAACGGTGGAACTTACTTTTGTACTATACAGTATTTGTCATGTTTTGTAAAGTTGTCTTGCAGGTAATTGTTTCTAGCATTTATGATATGTTTCCGAATTCTCCAGGACTATTTAGAATTTGGCTGACATGATCTTGATGTAATTGAGATATGACAGCACTTCAAGAAAAGTTATGTTAAATTTATCCATTCAAAGTTGTATTTTCATTTCTACTAGGCATTCCAGTGTTCACTTTTACTTTAAAAAGCTTTCTTTTGGGTATCATTCAGCAGTGCTGTAGTAAGTGAGGCAAGAAATATAATATGCCCAAAAATCGTACTTCTGTATGGATTCCGGTCATATTCGGCATGGCATTGATTAGGTTTAGAATTTCTTTTTTTTTTTTTTCGCAACAGTAAAACAAAGTAGAATATTCTTTGCATCTTACTTTAGAATGAGATTTGGTGATTTTTTCTCAGAAATTAGTCGTACTATTAGTACTACATCAACTAATGGCACTTTATCATCGATTGCTGTGATCAGATGTTAGTGCATATTGATTATTTACATATTGACTGAATACTCCCCTAGCTTTGAACTATGATATATTTAAATTACCACCAGTGTCCGAAAAAGTCCAGCATCTTTACTCTCTAAGGAAATTTGTAAATAAATCTTTCGTTCCCTCCATTTTCACTCATTTTTTTTTTGAAATCTTTTGGAGAAATTTTTCTCTGTCGTACTTTTTTTAGCATTTCAAAACAGTGTTTGGCTTTGTTTAAAGCACACAGATAATGAATGCTTCTTCTATCAGGAAAATACAGAAATATATCGGAATTTTCGTACATTCATTAGAAAAGTGATCGTCTTTATTCGTAACTTTGTAATTCAGTGCATCTCAAGACAAGAAAAACTTCTTCGGAACACGAAAAATCTTGGGGAAACAAATTCCAGTACAAAAGCTAAAATGAATTTTAATGACTGTAGTCATACCATTGGTTGCCGTCGAATTAACAGCTTGAAGTATAGGAACAACATGGTACTGCGCAATGGAGCAATAACGGTTTTGGGAAGCGTTTCATTTACCTATTCTAGCTTTGGTATCCTTTCGAATCATACGTTACCGACATAATCTTTTTTACTTTGCGTCACCGATTTCGCAGTTTTAATCTGGATTGCCAGATTTATATTCCTTTTTCTCCTGATATTTGAAATATAGAATTGCAATGCAACTTACAAATAATTTATAGAGGTTATCAATCCAACCTATTCAGCCCATTAATATTTTTGACTGGTATCATAGAGATGCTAACGCTGAAGATGTTCTTTTCCTCTAGCTAGTAATATCCCTGATTTTCAAGTCCACCTTTTCCTTTTTCGTGAGTCCAGTCATATGTTAAAACTGGTTTTTGTTGGAGATTTTTGAACAGATTTGGAAATCTCGTTATTTTATTATTGACTCTAAAACAATAAATTAGTTTTTTTTTTTAAAAAAAAAAAAATTTTTTCTGTGTTTCAGATTTTTGCATGTGCTTTTGTTCATACTCTGATAGAAACAAATCTCTGTTGTATTCGTCAGTTGTTTAGCATTGTTTGTGTGAGCATAATTCCTGGCAAAATAAACAATTATTACTTACCCAGTGAACGTAAGTTATTAAATTCAAATTTGTGCTTTCAGAATTTTTAAACTAATTTTTGATGAAGTACATTATTTCTTTCAGAACAAGAATTCGATAAAGAATGTGCAGTGCAAAAGTCAGAAACACAAATAGGCTTTGACACATTTGCATTTGGCTTATTAGTGTTACAACTTCGGATTTTTAATTCATGGTATTTCCAACACTGTGTGGTTGAATACCGATCTACAGCTGTGCTAATGAATCGGTATCATATGATTTTCCAACATGCTTGGATATCTAGGAATATGCACTAGAATATCTCGGATCGATAAAATCCGAATGGTTTTTTTAAACTAATGATTTCAATTAAATCCTTCCTCAGTCAGTCAGACTTTTTCCTTTTCAGTGGCACGGTTCTTCAAGACCAGCTTATAGAAAGAGAGATGATAGAGCAGAAGAAGCAGCAAGAGAAAAAATTCAAAAATATTAAGATGCGTACGGATCAAATTCGTAAAGACTACGAAAGACGTCTAAGCAAGGCTGGCGCTTTTGTGCCGCAAACATACAGCCAAGGTCTGTTTTTCCTTTTAAATTTTCTTTATTGTTTCCACTTGAGTTTTCTTCCACTTGGACTGAATATAGAAAAACTCTGTAGCTTTTTTTGGCATTTGGCTTTTCTCCATAGTTCTGCGGGTGTTGAAATGTATCAGTTGAAGGTCAGAGAAATCGAACTGTAATATCATTTCGACTTATGCTTCTGAAGCTAGATATATTTTGATATATCTTATTATTAAATAGTAGTTTCTTCACTTTTCAAGTTTTCAAATGAATGACTTTAGATTCATTTGCTAAGAATATCCAACGAAGGACGATAGATTTCCTATATTCTTTTATTAGAGTTCTTTTTCTCTTCAAGACTTGAATTCGAGTACTGCCGATTTCATAACTGAATTTTGGAATATCGCGTACATTTAGCACTCTTATATGATTTCCAGTTTAAATCTTAAGTTTCTGTCGTATTCTCATATTTAGATGTAGGTTTCTTGGTTACTTTTTTTGTTTTCATCGGTTTTTTTTATCTGTGATTCAGGTTTCAGTTTCCAGCATTACGCACTGATCACTGCATATTCGTCCATCAATGACACAACTTTTGTTTTTGAATGAAACTTTATGTGTTTCATTTATTATAAGTTCTAAAGGTGTTATAAAAATTTGGTTCGGTTATTCTGGAGTTTCTCCATTCTTGTTCATTTCCTGCTCTTGTTTTTGTTTCAAACTCATCGGTGTTACTAATTTTTCAAGCCGCATTATGAATATTTTTTTTAGGGTATGAATCTTAATATTTCATTTTTGTATGTTCCTATTAGTGTTTCGTTCTTTACAAATCCACTGTTATTGTGTTTGGTGTGTCCAGGAACTGAGGCGCATTATCCGAACAATCCTAATCCGTGGTGTAGGCTGAGCGATTCGAGTGAGCGTTCTGACTACCGAGTGCTTGGTTTGTTTTGAAAAAATCCCTCTGCAAACGTTGCTTGGCCTTTTATCTACATAATTGTGCTTCTAACGGCATACACTTTTTATCTAACATTCATATATGCTAACCTATTTAATCACTTCAGTTTCGCTCCAATTTTTTCCACACATGAAATATTTGCTGGACCTTTCTTTTTTTCTCTATTTCTTGTCAGTGTTACACATTTTTTAAGGTTAACACTATGATTACGTTCAGGTTTTCCTAAATTTTCTGAAAGAAGACGAGATAAAAGCACCAATCTCAAAATCAAGAGACATCTTACGAAAATGATTATTTTCGAGGTCAACGTGAATACTTTGAATAGAAGCTGTTAATGCAACAAAATTTCCTGCTTTCATATTTTCAGCCAAAAGAGCTGGTGATTATTATATGTTCGAATATGATCCATCAGAGGATGCACTAGATGCACCAGTGGAAACATTTGTTCCAGAAGTGACACCAGGAGCCAGTGATTTTAACAAATTAGACCCTGCTCAGGTTAGTTTATTTATGCACTGAGATTTATTTTTTTAGAAATTGGTGAGTCAAGTCAGAATTGTTGCGTGCATATTTGCATCAATTCTGTAAGTTCTGAGCAAGCATACTTTTGATTCATATTTCTTCTTCACATTTTTGAGCTCACATATTACTATTTTAGCTGATGCATACAGCTGTGCAGCGTGACCTTGATTTGTCTCAAACTTTGGATGCTATTAATTCAGCTGAACGAATTGAAACTGATGAAGAAAGACGTATGATTAAAGCTGTTTCGGACGAAATGAAACCATCCCGACAAATGGTAGTAGTGTCGGAATTATCAGAAAATGAAGAACGGAAGTTCGGTATTCTCTTCTATTAATTTCTAAGCTGTTGATAGCATAGGTTGGCCTCCAGCAATCGGTAGTTTTAATGACTTCTGCAATTCAGCTATTTGTCTTTTCCGGTCTAGTTATATTGTAGCATAGTGAGATAACCGATAGTTTCAAGTTAGTTGTTTAATCCTGTCTCACTTTGGTTTGAACAGCTTAAATTTGCTTTAGAAAATTTAGTGTCTTGAATTGCTTTGTATTATTAGAATTATAACCTGGAAATTTTCAGAAGGGCAAGTTTTAGCAGGATTATGTTTTCTGCAGAAGATCTTTACTGCTGCGCTTGGTTGGTCTGTCGCTTTCCTAAACCGTAGGTCTCGTGAACATCGATATGTTGCTTATGTCCTTGGGAAAGAAAAAGAGAAACTAAAGGAGAGGCTGAAACAGGTATTGTTTTGTTATAATTTTTGAAATTTTTGCGCATTATTCTGTCATTTATCATGTCTCTGATTTCATCCCCATATTTTGAAAAGGTCGTCAGATAAATAGTTGGTTTTTGAAAAATAATGGTAATGCTGCGCTCATTTCCAGTATGTTTGAGTTAAATAAAATAGTTCATAAATTAGTTTTAATCTAGTTCTTTGTTTGAAGTGTCTTTCAAACTCTAATTTTACAAAACATAACTGGTTTTTTCCTTAGATGTTGTCATAAAGGTTGCAGGAGTTGTTCTGGAAGAACTGATTTGCTCTTATGTCAAAATTTTTGTTCCTGTAACATAAACATACTACTGCTTGTTGTTCTGTCGTAATAAATCAAAGCTGCAACTTGTTAGAAGCGATAGCTCTAGTGATACTTCACAATTCATTGGTTTATAGAATGTAGTAGAGTGTGAGTTTCTTAAGTCTCGGCTTTAGAATATCCAAATACTATGTTATTGTTGCCAGTGCCAATTAATCGTAGTGTGGATATAAATTCGTAAATTCATTTTGCTGGTTGATTTAAACTTAGCGGATTGTGATTTTAACAGTTCACAACTCAAAATTTTCACCATAAGTGTTGGGCTTCATAAAATACTTGACGAAAGTTTTTACCAATTTTTGTTACTTCTGACCGATTTTCTTGAAATTTCTAGTCTTTATTATGTTGCGAATTCCGTGAGTACTATTTTAGCCACTGGTGGATACATCCAAATCAGTGTTTGACATTCGACAGGAATTTAATCAACAAAATTTACGTTGTGTCACAAACGAAAAGGACATTGAAAGGTTATTTTGATTTTTTGTTGAAATTTTGTCATCTGTGAAGTTATTCCGAGAATTTTCTTAACATACAAATTATTTCTAAGTTTTTAACATTTAACATATATTTAACACAGTTAACACATATACGAGAATTTTTAACATTTAGCATATAATTATTTGAGCTGGAATGTCACTATATTTAACCTATAAAATCTGATGCTTTTTTTTTTGTGATCCATCATTTAGATGAATATTTAGTAATAAACATTTTCAAAAAGTATTTTTTTTTTAAAGTGATAATAATTAGAAGGTATCTTTGACAATTATTTGACCTGGAATCTCGCACTTCATATAATTTTTTTTTCTTGGCTAGTGCAGTTTAAGCTTTCAACTGGGTATGAAAATAAGACTTTCGTTTTAAGATTAGAAGGTGAAGTGGAGAATCAGTGGGAACAGCGAAATGTGTTTTTGCGCTTCGTAAACGCAGTTGGATATTGCATTGCTGCTCATACTGATGTCATTTGCTACCTTCTGGCCATAATCAACCATGCCCGATGTGCTGGCATCATTTCATTACCACTACCTCTTCTCATTTTCTTTTGGGGTTCCTTAACAAACCCTCGTCCAACAAAGATATTTTGGGTAATTTTTCTTGAGTTTGTTTTGGGTCCATCTGATTTCTTCATATCTATAACTTGTATGTCTTTGCCGGCATTAAATTCAAAGACAATTGGAAATTTGGTGAAATAAGCTTTTAATTATATTTTTTAGATTGTAATGATAACTTACACAGAACTGATAGTAGTTATCAAATTTGTCGCGCAGTTTGGTTTCTTCTCGTTTAACAGCACTGCAAATATTATCAGAACTGCTAATTCTGTTGATTACCTACCCGGAATTTTGGGCATTCGAAAGACGGATTATTATGCTTTCTGGGATATCACCTTACTTGTTGGTACATTTTAAATTCAGAAATTTTTTGGTGATAAAATCATTGAAATCGATAAATATTTTGATTAATATTCCACTGTTTCAGCTCTCTTTTTCCATCGCTATATGCTTCGAAAATTGGGTCTATGGAAGGGAGCAGATGACATGTTTAAAGAATCAGTTCCGCTTATAGAAATAAGCAATCCTACTAATTCCAATTTGTCGGATACAACGCAAATGAATGTATGTTTTTCATTTACATGGAAGTCAGTTTTGTTGTTTCTGTAAAAATATACAAAAGAACTGTTTCTCATTCTTGTCGACATCGTCAATAAATTTCAGACTGATTTCGGCATTGTACCAAGGACAAAAGAAGGTAAGTCCATTACTTGCCTTTTTTTCTGATCTGAAAAAGTATGAAATTTCAGTTCTAAAAATATTCCTCGCCATCATCTCCGTTTGAAAGTTTCAGCTCCAACGCATATTAAACGCATCAAGCATTTTTTTAATACGCTGTTTAATCCACCAGTTCGATATATAAAAGATTTATATCCGTTCATGTTTTTGATGGATGTATTATGTTTCTTCGTAGTGTCCTTTGGCTTTTCTTCCTTTGATTACGGTGGTACTGGAAGCGTTGTACGAGATATCAGTGTAATATTTTTGGAATTTTTGATTTTTTTAGCATATAAAAATTGTTGACAGAATTTATAGTTGCATTGTTATTTAACTGACTTAAACATACTTTTCAGTCGAATCGTGTTCCAATAACATTTGTAATTATGCTTATTGTAATATCACTGATGATTATCATCGACCGAGCTTTCTATCTTCGAAAAGCCGTAAAATGCAAATTTCTCTATCAATTGGTTGTTGTTATTTTCCTCCATGTTTGGATATTCTTCGTTTTACCGCAAATAACTTATAAGTCAGTTGATTAAACATTTTCAGATGGTAAATTCAAATTTCGTTGACTGAAGGCAGATTAATTGTGTACTGACTTGCATTAGTTTTGGTAGTGTTTAGTGAAGAATTAATATCTAAATTATAAGTAAAAATTTCAGACCTTCTTGGCTGAACAAAACTGCCCAATTTCTATACTTCATTAAATGCATATATCTCCTAATTTCCGCCTGGCAGATCCGTAATGGATATCCGACACTGTGTGCAGGCAATCTTATAACACATGCATACGGCATTACGAATATGATATTCTTCAAACTGCAAGTTATTTTTATTATCAAACTGGTTCAAACATTCAATTTATTAGTGGGTTGTGGACTGTATTCACTGATCAGACAGATGTCAGTGCCAGTTTTCGAGATATTTCATTCAATTCAACCAGTTGTTGGTTACTAGATGATTTAGATCTCTTGGTTTCAAGTGTCTGCTTGGCATGCTAAAAACTTGCAGTAATAACTCGTACTGCTCCTCTTCATTACTCAAAGGTTGCTATTTTTTACAGCAGTGAAGTGCCAAAATCAAATTTATTAGTAGTTTTAAAAAATAAAATTCTTATTGTTTTGATTATAGTAAAGTGTTATTTCCAGATTTATGGCCGTCCCATTCTTGTTTGAATTACGTACGGTCACTGACTGGACTTGGGCTGACACTTCTATGCCGATGTTTGATTTTTTCAACATGGAAAACTTTTATGCTATTATTTACAATCTGAAATGTGCTAGGATGTATGAGAAAGTAAGTTATTAATTATATAATATTTCCCTCTTTTCGTATTTTTCTATATTACTGTTTTATATAATTTAACATTTATTTTTTGCTTTTCATGATCTATCTTTGTTCATTTTAGTTGCCAAATATTTATAAATTCTACCGATTTTGTTTTTTTAAATGAATTTAAATGAATTTCCAGAACTTTCCGACTCCAAGAGGTGTAGCCAAAGGCGTTGTAATCAAATATTTAATGGGTATACCAGTGATATTGGGACTTATTCTTCTTATCTGGCTGCCGTTGCTTTCATTCTCGCTCCTGAATAGGATTGGTATTGTATTACCACCGAATAATGTTGTGTTGACCATTGGAGTTGAAGGCTATCCCGTAAGACTTTATTGTAACTTTCATAGAAAAGGGAACTTTAATTTTAACAATGTTTTTAAATAAAGAATTAAGAAGAGTAAATAATCTCTAACAATTACTACTATTAAGAAATTTAGGATCAGTTAACATGTGGTGAATTATGAATTAAGATTGCATATTGTTTTTATGAATTAAGGATAGATTCCTTGGTTTTTATACTGCTAAAATTCTAGTCCATGTTCACTATCGAATCGCAAGGTATTGAATTGGAATTCCTGACTGATGCTGAATATGTCAAATTAGAAAATGCTTTCTCTGAGCACTATACTTCCTCGGACACAGAGTCGATATTAAGGGCGCGTCATGCTGTTGCATTTATCAGAGAATACAATCGGGAAAGTGTTATGGTAAACTGTATTTAATTTGTGTTCATTGCATAGGAATATGTTATAATAGACAAAAAATGCATCCGAGGTGTTTATATAAATCTTTCCGTAATATGCAAGAAGCACCATAATTTTATCACTGAAATACTTCCTGTTAGTAATTTTCTTATTCATCATAATGAATTTTGACTAAAAATTTCTTGCTATATAATCTGAGTTTGAAAAATACTTACTAAACAGTGAACTCCAAAAAAAAAAGATTAGATTTGTTATTTTTTATATTTCTTAATAGAATCTATATGATGCACAAACCAGGGGTGCTTTCAGCATCTCTTTTAAGTGGTATCCGTGTAAAACTTCACTTGCATCCTTATTATTTCTAACTTGACGATATGCAAAAGCAAGCATGTACTGTATTTTATGTGGTATCAAGCAAGAAACTTCTCTATATGCTTTTAGAAAGTGCGTTTCCGCCCTGAATCACACATGCCATGGCTAATTTCAAGCGATGCATTGCTTGCTATGAAGTATGAACTCAAAGAAGGAACAAAACGATTGAATGCCATCGTGAAGTAATCTCTAGTGAACTTATGTTTTTGTAATCTTAGATTGTAGGCTATATTCATTTATATTTATTAAAATTCACTCAATAGATTTGATAATTGTCGGTGGGTTTAAACTTATATACTTATAAACATTGAAAGTTGGGAAGGTAAATAACAAGTTTTTCAGGCTAATATCTTGTTTTTTTTTCCTTTTTTTTTTTTGAAAGTTGATTTTTTTCTGTATCATTTTCCAGGACTTCAATTCTAAGGAGTTTTTCCCGTGAAGTGTTTGCATTCATCCATACAGTTCACCTTTATATATCGTTCCTCTGAGAAATTAGTCTTACATTTATTACCCGTCACAGAATTGATGTTTTTTTCAAGATTCACGTGCGAGCGCCCTAACAGTAGACATGCTGATTATTCTACACAACATTCTTATACATTAACCATTCCTTTACCAGTAAATTCCACTATACGAAACGAACTGGCCGAAATTGTAGATGGTCAATACAATCATAGTGTGAGTTTTAACATTTGATTTCTCTCTTCATATTTTTCGAATTGTATAATTGTTTTAATGCAAATCTATAGATGTTGTTGGAAAATGCGTGGCCACCATATGTAATTATTCCCAATGAAGGAAATGTGAAACTGGCTTCTTCCTTACTTCATGTGATCAGTGGGTCAAATCCAAAACTTTGGGAAGCTTTTTCCAATATATCCATGAGATTAAGAACCGTTTACACTTCGGTGAGTGTTTCATCTGTTGGTCGATATTTTAAAAGTTTTGAATGTAATCAAATAACATAAATAAATGGGAAGTGAGTTTGAAGAATCTTAAAGAGTAGGTATTTATTTCAGGAAAATAAGATATGGAGTGCATCACTGATTCAAAATAATGAAACTGCAGCACTTACGTTACCACTAGAAGACATTAAATACGAAATTCGCCCGGAAAAGTACCTGCAGATGGTTGTGTTCGTAGATCGTGTTTTCCCATCATTTGTTAGCAAATATGTCCAAGGAGGGTATGCAGTTTGAATTTTATCTTTTAGAAAGCAGCTAGTCTATTGAAAGCAGTTACTTCTTAATCCGATTCAGACTCTCTTCACTGACCATTTGCAATACATAACTGGCCTTCCGCTTGTTGAAGTTTTTACAGATTGATTAATATTTTATTTTATTTTTTTTTTTTTTAATATTTTATTTTTCTTTTTTTTTTACATATTTATACATTCTTATTGTCAGCGACGTTGACAAATCCCAAACTGACTCCTTAATCTTTGTTTTCCAGTATTATTGCAATGTACCTAGCTGTAGTCATGTTAGTCGGACGTATGATACGTGGTCTTGTAATGAATGCTGGTTTGGAAGTCATGGTTTCTGAAATTCCGAATCCGGATCACTTACTTAAAATATGCCTTGATATATATTTGGTTCGCGAAGCGAAAGATTTCGTTTTGGAACAGGTCTGATTACTTTGCTTATGGGGGATATTACTTTCCATAACAAATTTTCGAATTGTTATAAAATTCTACATTGCATGTATTCTCAGTAATATTTTGAAGGATTTATATGGCAAATTGATCTTTCTGTTTCGATCACCTGAAAACCTTATCAAATGGACACGAAATAAAGTCAAAGCTGATTAATTTGAGAAACCTGATCGACATTTCTGATTGCTTATCAAAATATTTTACAAATATAAGATGTGTATTAAAGCCAATTATCAATATACATAATTCTGATAATTGAGAATGAAGGTTCTGTGTACGTAATTTGATATTTATTATAATTTTGTGAGCTTATACATAACCAAAACAAAAAGTTTTTGTATTTTATGACTACAAAAATATTATATTTTGCTTTCGTTTCAGATCATCTAAATTTCTCTTTAGTCTGCTGCTTATTGCTTTAAAAATCATAATGTTTTATAAATTCGTACTCTGAGGCGTTTCTAAAACCTTTCGATCAGTTTGATTTGAGCTTAACCGATCGTGTTGATTAGATAGCTCGTCAGTTCCAAATGCTACGCTATTAATTAATAGCTTTTTTTCGAAGTATATTGATTTCGAGATTTTACGTATTTGTTGAAGATCCCCTTGATTGCTTAAAGTTTTTGATTTTTTCAACTAATATAAGACGTTGGGCACTACTTCAAACAGTTTATCTTTTCATTGGAATTGTTGCACATTTCGTTATAACTAATGTTTATGAAAAGAAAAAAGAACTTGTACACGATATCTGTTCTCCTCAACTTGTTCTTATTTGGAATTTCTTATCCGTTTGTTCAACGTTTAAGCCTACTCAGCGGGATTATTTCATAATATATAAAATATGTTCCCGTTGTTGTTGCCATCTCCCCGCGGTTATTGTTCTCATTGTTGTTCATGAGATCAATACCGCAGCAACCTTTGCAACTTTCTTACCTTTTGCTTTTGATTTTTTTCAAATATTCTCTGATGAAAATTTTATTCCCACAAGGTGGTAAGCCACACACATTTGGATACAATAACGTTTTGGTTACGAATGATATGAGTAAGTCTGGGAGTTTAGTGAGCATTCTGTAAAATTTGTAGACATGAATTTGGTCCTGACGATGAGCAGGAAGTATAGTGCTGAAAAACTTGGTTGCGAGACTGAAGCACGCAATTATTTTATGTATCTGGAGTAAACTGGATTATTGTCACTTATCGGGGGATTAAAAAAATAAAATGTGAAGGAAGATCTTACTGATGATTGGATTATGTGGTGAATTTTTAATAAAAATATTCCGACAACAATCATCTAATGAGAGGAGAGCGGAGAACTTTAGAAAATTTTTGGATTTTAGGTTAGCATTCCTAAAGCCAATAAGCAGGCCAGCAAATATTTCATTAGCAACGCCTCTGTGGAAGCAAGAAGGTAAACATATAGCCCTTGTGGAGAACGCATCGCCGCGATTGACGAAGGAGCACTTTGCTGAAATTGTGATAGTCCACCGGTCAACTCCTGAGATTTCTTTTCACAACTATTTTGGAAGGTTAAATTATATCCAGAGAAGAAAGGTCTTCAATTTGTGAAGTACTTTTTCATAAATGTTACGGTTTTAGTCACCTGAACTATCAATAAATTGATTGTTCTTACAAATTATCTCTACATTCTCGACATAAATTGTGCTCTTCAGTTTCTGACCAAATATGCCATCTTTGTATTCTTTTGTTTGACACTTTTATATTTTCTCATCTCGCATATTAATATTTGAATGTATTTCAAATACTTCAAATATTTTCTCATAAAATTTTATAGAAGTAATAGCTAAGAAATTTTATTGTTAACAGTTGGCATGGTCTTATTCTGAATCTTCAGAAGATTTCTTCTCGCTTCCTCAAATCTTGATAGCACTTTAAAAATGTTCCAGTGAATTCGTGACTGCATCCTGAATTTGTTTTACTTCATCACTTTCTGCACAGTAATACCTCTGATTGAGAAAATTAAGTGCTTGGTCATTTGCTAGTTATATAAACGTAATATTAACCAGACGAGGTACTTACCCATCATGTCGTATTAACGTGCCATATTTCATTTTGTAGAAGAATTCATGACATATGAATTCTCGACTTTGCATGATACATTGTACATTAATTTTAAGGGTTCCAGAACTTACTGTATTATGTCCTATGCTAGATATTATTGAACCCTGAAATTATATGACTGGCTCTGTATCCGTAAATTCAAATTAGTCTTTTCATTTCTTCTAACTGCTGTATTACCTTCAGTTTTTAACTAATGTAGGCGGGTTTTTGAGTGTTTTGTTTTGGATGGATATCTTCCCCATTGTTTTCACCTGTTTTACTCCTAATAAGTGATAGCAAACGATGATCTTACTACTCTGTGCGTCGCAGATTCACTCGTTAAAATTGATTCTGTCCGCTTAAAATAAGCAACTTCGGAGATGAAGTTCTCGAACAGCATATTTTTCCTGTCATGTTTGTGGTCATGTCGCCAACATTTGATGTCATATTGATATCTGAAATAAATTAAAGAGGAATTAGTTTTAAACTGTTACGTTTTCAAAGCTGGTTTATAGAAGTAATTGGTACTGATACTTGTTAAAGAGTAACAAAAAAAAAAAAAAAATAGCCTTCCAGGTCGAGAGGGAAGTGTTAAATGCCCAAAGCCATTTACGAAGAAGCATCCCCAGCAATCTTCCCCAGAAAGTCGGAATATCATTCTGGGCCAGAAAAAATTCTCGAAAAATTGTTCCTGTGCTTTGACTATTAATGTGATGGAGACTGGTTGTGAAAATACAGCTACGTCATCCTGAAATTAGATGAATGTTTCTGAAGGTTAGGTGGTAATTTTACGCAGGTCTTTTTCAAAAACCTGGAATGCATTAGTGATTAAGAAAAACACCTCTCCTTGTGGACTTGAATCAATAACTGTTGACCATCTGTGCACCGGAGATAAATCAATTAGTGCACACTGCAACGGCAGGTCAATTTTATACTCAATACATAAACCATCGTGAGGAAAGTTCACCGCTCGTTCTGTAATATATTCTGTTCGAGACGTACTACAAACATATGTTTTCATGTACTACAAACATATGTTTTCATGAATTCACATTTACTGAAAGAATGACTGAGTAAAATTGACCGGTAATTTTATTACGGTGTATGTTTCGTTTGAAATTGTAGAACCTTAAGGCCTTTTGTTACTACTAACCAATATCGATAAGGTAAACAAGTTTTGTAGTTTTTCCGGATGGAAAATCGCCCATTGTGTCACTTTCTCCTTTTTCAAACCATAACTAAAAAGGTAATTTTTTGGGATAAGTCTTCACATAACACGAGTATATACATTTGTATGTACAATACAAATATGGGAAATTTGGAAGATTTCGAACTATAACTTTATATAAGTAAAAAGACCTGATATGCGCTGGCGTCATCAATACGATCAAATTTTTCATTGCTGATAAGCGACAGACGGGCTTTGTAAATACCATGACAACTTTCAATAGTGTTACTTGCGGCTAGCAAGTCTGGTTCTATGATAATATTTGTCCCGTTGATAGCTGTCATTTTGCATAAAACATATTGGTTACTTTCATCACATATTTGCCTGTGAATTCAAGGATAAATTAAATATAAGTTAGTTGAGCACTTTTTTTTCTGACATATCAATACTACTGGCATTGATTTTTTATTTCACAATCAGATACAGATTGTATGAAATGGAATTGCAAGAAATTATGTTCAAGATATTAGGTTAAAGAACCCAAGAATTAAGTTGAAATGAGTAGAAATCAAATAAACCTGTTGTTCTGGAGTGGGCCCAAATAAGCCATAATGTACATCATCTGCTTGTTACGCTCTACACTTCGTGTTTTTATTTGATGTTCTTTACGTGGTAAATCAATTATTGGTTTTCGATGTGATATCCTAAAATATAACCTTTGAAATTCGAAATAAGTGCATTAATTAGATTTTAACATTGAAATTAAAGTGCAGAAAAAGCATCTTACACTGCTGGTTCTACTCGTCTATTTTTGGACGTAGCAATTCTTTCTGCTAAGCTATTTTCTCCTTTGGCAATATTCAACTTCGTAGTTGTCTGGAATTTACTGTTTTGTTTCATTTGAATCATCTCATAATTTCAGTTTTTCATTTTTCTTCATAACTCTCCCCTCATTAAATATACGAAACAAATTTTTCGCAACTGTGACACTAGCATGGTCATAACGCTAAAAAAAAAATGTGATTACCGTCGTTTTCAATGCCATTGCTAACTCATTAAAAGTATTAAATTTACTGTTCAATATCAGTCGTTTATGTTATAAGTCATAAATCCTTTTTTACTTCTTTAAGGTTTAACTTTAACCTTTGCAGTCCCGGTAGGTTTTTCACCATCAATAAGAGTAAACACTCTGCTGCCTGCAATTCAAAAATATAAATACACACGGGCGATTGAAGTGCGAAATTGCTATTCATGAACTAATAGGATCATAACGCTGGAAAAAAATTTAATTGTGATTACCGTCTTTTTCAACTGCCATTGTTATCTCATCCTGACTTACATTGCCCTGTTTAGAACAACCTTCGGTTTGCGACTGTGGCACCTACAAGGTCTGCTCAATTTACAGTTTAAGTTGTAATTAAAAACTCGTAGATGGAAAACAAATAAAATGAGGAAATGCTGCATGAATAGCTTATGAATAGTTTACTTACAGTAGTGAATTTATGGTAAAGTTTTTGTTGCCACCTGAAAGTACACTCTTCCACAAAAGTAGTTGACAATGCGGGAACAGACTTTTCGCTGGTATTTTCGGTAAAATTATCGAGTGATTGCGGTACATCAGCTACTGGCTCGTTGTATTCAAGGACCAATCTGAATCGTGACTGGAAGGTGGGTTACCAACGCAGTATTCAATTAATTAAAATTAAAAAAAAATAACTAAAATTTTAGCATAACTTCAAATTTTGGTGAACTAACATAAAAAGAATACCTGAATTTAACGCCAGTAAGTGGACTGTTTGCAAAATAAACACCTCTTTGTTCAGGCATATTTCAAAATGATTGATTTTATTTAAAATAAAGAGAACTAAAAAATTCACTTCAGAGATTTATAGATTTATGTATTTCGGATCGATAGAAATGATTCAGTTTATGAGTGTTGCTGCTAGGTAACCAAAAAGCAATTTGTTGTTTCGCGACAAGTAGTATATAAAACTAGTAGGACTTGATTGAAACTTATGCAAACTGAACTGTGTTATTTCAGATTTTACTTCCAAAAAAAATTATATATAAATAGCTCGAAATTGTTCAGTTATTTTATAGAATCTTTTCATCTCTAGCTTTTGTGTATCAAATGACTGATTTAATTTCCCCTTGATTTTGATTTAGCACATTTGAAGAGGAAATTTTAACACTTCATAAAAATCGATTTGGAAGGTTGGTAGTAATTATTAGTATATTTTAAAAGTTTCTCTATACAATTTTTGCTGGTCGATGGATTGTTTTGTTGCTTCGCTGATTATTTGAAAATTCAATAAACATTTTGGAAGAGAAAAAGGTTTGAGATTATTAACTTAAGGTATTAACACCTTCATGTTACATAACCGCTTTGGAAACGCAAAAGTCAGACCGAAACGCTATTTCGTTGGTTAAACCAACAAGGAATTTCTAGTTGAAGATTTAGTAACTGTAATTAATCCCGAGACAACTGTTTTTGTAAAACGGTGAATAGATTCAAAGTTTTAGGAAATGCTAGAGAGTAACAATTTGCAATATACTAGAGGAACTGTCGGTGGTGTAAGAAATAATGAGAATTTTAAATCAGATTATTCATAACATTTATAAATCTGATTAAATCAGCAATCCTTCATGTCACCCAACTAATAACAGTGTGAGAATCCTTTAAAAAAGTAACTTGATTTTTTGAGATTCCAGAATCATTTTTCCAAAATTATTTTTGGACCGATGAAGAAGTATATTGCATTCTAGGTTAAGCAAGCCATTTATTTTAAGCATAACAAATTGGTATGTCCCAAAATATATTAAACGAGTAAATACGTTTTTACTGACAATTGTTTCAGTTAGACGTAATATACAGAAATTTCGTCTGCGATTATTCTCTATTTGCTACTTTGTCTTCCACTTAAGGAACTGTTTACCGATGCCATCGACATTCATACAAGCCAGCGGCATCTCTCACATCCATCTTCCACAGACAGCACTCATGCACCAATTTCAGGCAATGCAGATCTCACTCCTCGCCTAAATCACCTAAAAGTACATGAACAAAATATTTCTTCCATATACAACTATCGCATCACGAGTATTTGTCATTTCATTCCTTCATTATAAGAGTTTAAACGGTCGCCTTATTTATCCAATCGTTGTTAGTCCTTTTGTTAACGTACTTATGGTCATCAGTTTTAATATCAAGAAATTTATATTACAGCACTTTTTGAGTCCACAGAAACACACATATGAATTTTGTAATTTCTCACAGTTTACTGAATTCCAATTTCTGATAATTTTTCGGTTATTTATTTTAATACATGTGCATTAGGGCTAGATTATTTTCAGCTAATATATTAATAGCAACTAAAACATTGTAATCAGATTGTCTTTAAGGAAACCAATACTTTCACATTTGAAATTGACAAAGTTTTATGGCAAATTCTGTTAAAATATTTAGAAGCGTTTGGAATTCTGAGAATGCATAATCCCTGGAAGCTATCTATAATGAGAAAATCTGTTTATGAAGCGATAAATCCGTTATTTCGCACTTACAAAAAAGAAATAAAAGCAATTTTCAGGATGAATGATGTGCCATTCAGTGCTTCATAAATTTAAGCGATGGCAAAATCGCTAACAGAAAATGCTACAAAAACTCAAGAGCTTTAAGTAGATTTAACAAATCAAAACGTTCGGTAAATTACATAAGATTATGTTCCTTTTGCAACTTACCGAAAGCTTCTGACCGAATTCTTATTTTAGTCTGCAACTGCTCGAAATTATTGTAAAATCCATAGGTTTTCAGATCGGTTTGTGATAAACATAAAATATTTGGTACAAAAGAAATAATTGTTAACGTGGAATATTTGAGTATTTGTTAGGCAGAATAAAGCGGTAGTTGCAAAAAAGGTGGGAGATAGACAAGCATAGAGGGAGGGATTCAGGTGATGTAATTTATGATTGCGGCTTCCCAAAAAGCACATGAGGTCGAGAATGCGTCATGATGTCGAGACTTAGAAAACACCGGCAATACGATCTCATCCCATTTCCATAAATCTGTTACACCGCCGAATGTGATTGCGCAAAGGCGCATCTGCTTAGGTAATACCATATAGATTGATCCTCTTTCAGTCGTGCTCTTAATTAACTCACCATCCGACGTCTCTAATTCTACTATTCTACTTTTTTTTTTCTTCAGATCATTTTGGAGAGAAAGAAAATCGTTAACATCACAATTGTAACCATGTCTTCTCGTAACGATATGACCTCGCCATTCACCTTTCCAAATTGCTCCAAGCTTTGAAAAGTTTTCCCATTCCAACAATTCTTTTGATATTATTCAAAATACAGAGTTTTATGTTATAGATTGCACTTCTTTATTTTATAATTCACAACAAAATCATTTTACTTTCCGGATTAAAAGAGACTGAAAAAGAATCTTTCCTCTATAATAAAAGAAAGCTGTGAAGAATTTTCTACTGTACCTGAATAGTAAGTTCTTCCTTTCACTTATAATATTCTACATACCTTATTTAACCCTCCATTAAACAACATCCTTTTCAACTCCTATTGCTTCCTATTGAACATTTGTTTCCTTAAAGTTCGTACTTCATAACTGAATGTTTTTCTACACACCACATAAAATAAAACTGTTGTAATGAGTCATTTAAAATGGATTCAGTTTCTGTTGTATTATAAATAGAAGTTTCAGAGAAGATTTCATCCATATATCCAGTGTATTTGTATTCAGTACTGGATATCTGAAGTCTCTTCTTTGTTACATGAGTATTTATTGTTAAAATAATAATCAGTAGAACTAAGGATTGATTGTCATATTAACTATATATTCATCACATAAACAATCCTCGAATAATTAGATTAATTATATGGGTGATAGGAAAAAAGTTTGTCTGTTATGGACGCAGAAATAAAAGAAGGGCCAAATTATTACGAGAATCAACTACGAGCCGTGTCGATGTGTTGGTCTGGATTTGACCCAGTGGGTTCAAACGGCTTCACATCCAGTTGCTCGCATCAATTAGTAACATGTCCAACGTTATCGATGACAATTGCTAAGCAAAACGACCAGCAGGTTATTCTCAACAACCTTTTGAATAAGTGTCACTTCATAATTTAAATAAACTTCTTATTCATTGATGGGAAAAGTGCTCAATTTACGAAGCTTATTATTTTAAAAGTTCATTGCTTACAGATAGTGCATCCGTTTCATCCATGCAGTTTCGTCTCCTTTGCGCAACATTTCTCAACGCTGTCTTTCAACAGCAACGGTACTACGCCCTCAACCTCCTCTTCATCGTCATTCCCAGCACCAACTAAAAAGAAGCCCGTCCCCGTTCCTGAAAATTTGAAAGACGAAGTAAGTGCATCTCTGGGCTGCCTTATTGCTTGAAGATCTTTCCTATTGCTTCTTCTATGCCTCACATGATCTCTACGCCGAATTTTGCGACAAACATATATCAGTGATAACAGAATTGTAGAAGACTCATTATTGCTGCATTAAATTAGTCTTAATTAGAAACCCATCCCTGTCTCGTTCAAGAATTTTAGGCATATCGTGAACGTAGAATGAGAAACAATGAATCAGCTAGAAAATCCCGAGAACTTAGGCGTCAAAAAGAAGAATCGACGCAAATACGATGTGATCAACTCCTGCAGGAGAATCACATTCTGCGAGCCGAATTGTCTCTATTACGAAACCAAATGGAACAATTCCGACAGATTTTCCCAATTTCTTTCAAAAACCCGCAACAAAATTTCGTATCCGGCAGTTCTGTTTCTGGTTTATAAATTTTATTTAATACACATGTACATAAAATACAACTTGATGCCATTGCACACCTATCGCTTTGATATAATGAACGAACTTCAGAAAAGTTTGATTGATGTCTTCCATACTAGGTGACACATTTATTTGTGGAGTTAAATAAGTCTCAGTTAAAACAAAAATGAAACTGACGTTACTTATTCCAATTCCATGAAATATATATAAGCCTGAAAACAAGTACATAGAAATGGGACTTCATATTAATTTCGAATTCATATTCATTTGTATGACACATAATTTTACAGCATATTTTCTATCTACTAACCCCTTTTGTCCTATAGAATAACCCATGAAAATTACAACTCTAGTAAGGTTAGAAAAAGTATTGGGGAAAACAGTTTACATCAGTCATAGAAATCTGATCCCATACACAGCTATTTATTACGCGATAAAAAGCTCAGGCAATCGACTAAACATAATCACGCAAATATATGAAATGTAGGCGATATGCCTGAATGCAATATAAACCACAAATAAATGACAAGACAATGCATTAAAGTGGCAAATGAAAAAGGAAAAAATGAGCTGTTCCTTGGATTTAAAACTATTATTAAGTTAAAAAGCTGGCGTGAAAATCTGAAAGCAAACACACCAAAAGAACATAAGAGGGATAAACGAAGAATTTTAAGGCTTAATGTGATATTAATAAGATGACATAGTATTATCAACAAGTTATATAACAGTAACAGAAAAGAAGTTGTTACTGCACTGAAGTGTTTTTGTTCAGCTTTTCAATTTCATGCTCAAGATCACACAAGTTTCGTTCCAATATTTCAACTTCTTCCAATCGACTATCCTCCACAGCTTGTTTTAAGTACCTGAAAATTAATGAACTGTCAATCCATTAAAAAAATGCGAAAATTTGGAAAGATTTTTTTTTCTACCAAGAGCAATTCTTTAAAAAAAATATACGTAATTAATACTTCGTGGAGTCTAGTACTGAATAAAACCAACCCTTTGATGATAAAGATTTGCTCCTCCAATGGATCAGCCTTTTCTTCCTCTTCAACAAATGGGTTAGTGTGAAGAAACATTCTAGATGGGGTCCAGCCACAATCTTCACAGCCACTAACAATACCGGAAAAGGAAATAGATTCTTTCAAATAACTCTTAACATCATGTCGAACCATTTCTTTTGTTTCGCTTAAATGTGAGCCAAATCCAGGATTTGAAGTTGACGGCTGCAAAGCACAGGGGGAACTTTATAAGAAAATTTAAGACTTATGAAGAAGTTACAATCGTAAAGTGGTTTTAAGGATGAAATCCACGAGACAATAAAGACATCATAAACCTTCAAAATGATTGTATTTCTCTTTCTTTCCATATCTATTCGATGTCTGATATCAGCGCGTCTTTTTTCTAGCAATTCATTATAGCGATCTTCAGTTGGATGAAGATTCATTTGCGTCACTAGTTGCTAAACAATAATTTTCGGTAAGAAATTAATGTACAATAAAGAGATTGCTGCTTAACCTAATCGTGAGAAATAAAACAATACTGATTGGAGTGAAAAATTAATACTAAAATCTCCGAAAGGTTCCTCAAATTAGAAATTGAACCTGTAATATTTGCAGAGCAAAATCACGAATATTCTTTCGAATGACTTTCTCCCGTGATGTACAAAGTCCAGAGGTATTTTCTTCAGTAATGTAATGCTTCTCAACACGAAAACTGAAGTGTTTAAGCTTTTTCCTGTTAATGACTTCAAAAATTTAATAAATAATGAATTTTGGGAATTTCTTCACAAATAGTTTTTCAATGTAATATAAAATATTTATGTGTTTATTTAATGTAATATAAAATATTGCAAAAATGATCACAAAATATAATCAAGAGTTGATTAAATTTACAAGCGCATTCTACTAACCTTACAGAATCAATTTCTCTTTGCAACTTTATTAATCGATTTCTTAGCTGAATAGCAGATTCTAATGTATACATGGTCTCTCCTCGACTGAAAACCATGGAAGAACTTAAAGATTTCAATAAATAATAAATTTTGAGAATCTTCACACAAATATTCTAAGTGCTGTAGTATAAAATATTACAAAAACGACAACCGAATGAAAGCATAAAATTATTATGAACCTACCTCAGCGATTCTGAAATACGTGCATAGGAGGAAGCTAGCTTTTCAGCGTCACGAAAAAGAGAACAAAGTCGTTCATACAATACTACAAGCATCGGTGGCGAGGTAAGCATCTCCATTTTTTCGCTACGAACATCTAACAAGATCTTACATTCCGCACAAATTCGCAGGTGCTCATTTTCATCCTAGGAAATAGAAACGACACTAATTATGAAAATTACTTGGTTAATTATTTTAAGGAGGAAAGAACGGCGGCAGCAGCGAAGCTTGGTGAGACGATATATTCGAAATTCAAATAATCTCACAAAAAATGTGATACTTAACAGTAATAGGTAGGTAAAAAAATTTATCACAAAGCTTAAAACAACCTGCTGAAGCAACGACGCTAAGCTGATTTCAGTGCCATCCCGTTTCACCAATGACAACGTTGAGGAAAATAATTTTTCGCCTTTTAATCGCACTGACTGCAACGATTCACTAGACATAACTTGCTTAATAGCTTCAGTAACAGACGTCGAACGTGACAAACGACTTAATGGCTCTTCTGAAATATTCGTCTTTGAGCTGTTAATTTCCTCCAACAGCTGTGCCGCAAATGCTGGATTTGTCAATTTGCCTGAAAATATACGGAAGCTGAGCTGCGAACACCAGAAATCTAAGCATAAGCGACGGAAGTTATAAGCTAATACATACCATTTGATTTTTTCCAAAAGAAAGTCGAAATTGATCAAAAAGAAAGTGGCACAACAATTATCATGATAATTTCACGTATATTAGAATTACAGTGAAATAAATAACTTCTACAGTAGTGAAAGTTTGAAAGATATACGAGCATCGACGAAAGCAAGAAACTTTGAGCATGCGTGACATATAATTTCGCCACATAGCCGGCAGTGATGCCGCCGCTTAGTCAATGAAAATTTCATGGAACATGTTCGACATCTCAGCACATCACGATCAGTCACCCAAGGTACTGTTTCACGTTCAAAAGCTACAAACAATTTCTGTTTTAGTGGAAAAAATTATTCCTGAAATTTAAAGGTGAAAATTTGCTGCAACAGATAACATTACAAGCAGATGTTAAGTAGATTAAGGAAACATATTAAACTCTAAAACAGTATGTGCCAACCTTTGCGCTTATTTGAATCTGAAGGACACTGGTTAATTAACTTATCAAGCCTAATAATCAAACTGTTTGTTTTTACAGCAGCGTCGTTTATACAAGGAGATCGACATTTCAAGTAAAAATCTGTATGACTCCTTGTGATTCCTGCAAAAACGAAAACAATGAAAATTTTAGAGTCTTCGGTGTTGGTCAGGACATGAAGAAAATATCCATGTGATCTCCCATAGCTTACTAGGTCATTTTCAACTGCTGTTTCTCAGTGAACATAGTGTTTCCCTATGCAACAAAACATAAAAATTTACGTTGACCAGACTTACCAAGATCCTGCAAAAAAGTAAATGAGTGCATTGCATGAGAAAATTTTTCGACACGACCATCTGCCATACTGGGAAAACTTCTTGAAACTGCTGCTGCTCCTCCATTATTCGAGTTTGCATCACCAATTAAAAAGAATGTATCTATATGTGAAATCTTTTGCTTAGCTTTATCGAAGA